TGGATCAACATTTCTAAGAAATCTTCTTTGGATTTCTCAAACTAGCTCTCTAACATAACTGTCAACATATGCTAGACTTTACACATAAGTTAACCCTTGAACTTGGTTAACTCCACACGATTTATGGACTTGCTCTTTCTCACTTTAAACCTTCATACTTTGAAGTATGACTTGTTTCACCTTCCCACTTTTGTCTTATGGATAGGTTTACATCTCATTGTAGGGTCTTGAGATAGTAGCCGAAACAACGGCTAGCTCTTCTCCCCCACAATTCTGCCCATTTAATTTCATGGTTTTACTTATTGAACATGCCAACCACTATATGTATCTAATTGTTTACCAATGGTATGATCTCACTCGATTAGCATACCACAAACAATTCAGATTTTATTAGAAATATCATCTAATTACTTACCAATGGTATTGATCAAGGCAACTTGAGACGTCATAAGTAATTCAGATGCATTCCAGTAATGGAAATCTCATCTAATTACTTACCAATGACATTTCATCTATGTAACATGATATACCACAAGTAATTCAAACGAATTTCTAATTCAATTGTTTAATTACTTTCCAATGGTATAAACTTCATAAATATACCATAAGTAATCTAGACTTTAAGTTCAATAAGATCATCTCAATTGAGCACTCATGTCAAATTGTTTTCCAATGGTATATGTCCATATATACCATAAACAATTCCGACACATAGCTACACACAATAATCGTAAGTCAAATTGTTTTCCAATGGTATAGTGTACTTATACCATAAACAATTCTGACCTAATGCTTATCTTGATCATGACCATCATTTGGCAAGCTTATTAAATCCCTATAAGGATCAATCATAGCTTCATATTCCTTGTCCTCTAGGCATAGGAAACATCATGTTCTAAACCACATACATGACAAACAAATTATCATGTCTTCACAAGCATAGTAGGAATTAACATTCCTTGTCGTTTGTGGCTTACTAGTAATGCAATTTTTTGGACGTGCATTAATCAAATATCATCTTCAACAAATTGGAGGTATACTTTCCGTACTGTGTTCAACTTACTTTGAACATAACCTTTGCATTTAATTTGCAACCATTTCGGCTTAGGTAGACTTGACCACAAATCTTCACAAGCCTCTCCATAGGTTAGCATCATCCAAACCACCTCATAGTCCTCTAAGAGTTACCTTGAATTCATCGTGAATTCTTCTTGATTCAAATATATTTGAATTTTCTTAAACTCTTCCTGAGTTCATTCTCAACTCAAATACTACAAAGGTATTTGGAATTCACTTAACCAAATCGAATTGGTTCATGACTCGCTACGACACAACTCCTAACAATGGCCAAGTGTAACCAATGAAAAGGACTGCACTATAGTGGCTCAAGTAATAAATATCGAATCCACGGGACTCTAGAGTTACTATTACTCAGCTTCAGCTCATTATTTAGAAAACCAGATTAAGATGGAACAACTAAAACTACTCTAACAAACTACAGTTAAAGTTAGGGTAAATACAATATATCAGCCACAACTATTATGAAGCGGGGAATTATAGCCACAACTATGGAAATTCAAATTATTAGCCAAACGTTAACTATCTGTTTACAATTTCGTTAGTAATACTGACTAAAATTTTATGTTTTAAAGTTATAAATTAAAAGCATTCTGATGTGGCCGCTGTCGTGGCCGATGACGTGGCCTTCTCAGTCAAAAATTCAATAAAAGTAACGGACAGTTAGCCATATCTTGACCCGCAACAATAGTTATGGCTAATAATTTGAATTTTCATAGTTGTGGCTATAATTCCCCGCTTCATAATAGTTGTGGCTAATATATTGTATTTACCCTTAAAGTTAATCTAATTACAGGTTGGGAACTCACTTAGGTATCATTCCCCCTAGCCACTAGCCAGATTAATGATTGATGATCTCTAACTTGTTTCACTTTCATTCACAATGCGGAGAATCCTTGACTAGACCTTGAGTCTCGACTAAAGGAACAAGGCCCTCTTGAGTCAATTGCCTAGAGGGACGTATCCTTCTCTAGAACAACCGATCAAGGCATTCTGAACTAGACTCCCTCTATCGAAAGAGGTTCTCAATCGATACACATCAGTGAATCAATCCTCGACTAAAGCAATCGATCCACTACTATCAAACTATGGTGCTCTATTGACCTGATTAGGTATTCGCTCTCATAGGATCAAAGAAGAATCAATAATCTCGACTAAAGCAGAATTGATTCATGAAAACGTGCATAGATTGAATATGAACTCAAGATTATCAAGTAAGAGTACTCATACAATCATCCAATCAAACAAACATAGCTAGGGTTCCTCAAAACCTAAGTGAAGGGAAGTTACTCCATAGAGAAGAGAGAGACTGCAGTAAGAATATTCAGATGATCAGTCTTCAAGTCCGGGCTTGTTCCTCGAGCTTCCAAGGCGAAGAAATCCTCCAATTCCACTCCAAGAATGCCCTCAAATCGCCCTCTCTCTCTCTCTCTCTTTGGTTCGTCCCTTGGGTGTTTGGGATCCAAAACCCAGCTCACCCTTTCCTTTGGCTTGAATCTGCCTCAAAAACCCGATTCTGGGCAAAACACGGTCGAGGACACGGCCGTGTTTTGCTTTTGCCCGTCCGTGCCCTTGCCACGCGTTAAAAACACGCCCGCGTCGGCCAAAACACGGTCGTGCCTAAATATGGACACGATGGTGTTTTTCTTTAGGCCAGCCCGTGTTTTGCTTTTCCATCAGTTCAGCTCTCGCACATAAAAACACTGGCGTGCCTGTTTGTGTACACGGCCGTGTTCTTCAGGCCTCCTGTCCGTGTTTTGCCCCCAGCTCGACCAAATGACCTCCAAACGCCTCGAATCTTGTGCTTAGCCTTTCCTTCAACGTCTGGGACCTGAAATATGACAAATTAGCACAACCCAGCGTAAAACGGGCCAAAAATACACGACTACTAGCCACAAACGGATAAGAACTAAGGGTGTAAACATGTGCAAATACATCGTTATCAGTTCAACGAGCACTAAATTTGTTTCCAAGAAATCCTTATCTTTATCAACCATGTTTCACCATAAACATGGAAACGACAGTTACCATACGTTCTGGTGCTTAGATTTTCAATGCATGAACCAAGATATATTGCCGCTATTAAGACGGATATATATACGTTGCCATTAATCATGTCAAAACTGATTAATTAAACATTAATCTGTTCACCCATAATTAAATAGACAGGAACAGAGTGATACCTATTTCCAATTTCTTTCCAATGCCAACCGTCCCTTTTCTTCCTTTGCAACCGCAATGGCAAGAAACGACCAAACATATATATACACAATGCAACATATATATGTATGCACACTCATACTAACATAGTAGATATTGAACCTATATATATATATATCCAATATATAACCTAGTCGCATGAATGAATGATTGGCGGTAAAGTAATACCAAATTGGAATCCAATTACACACAGCCCAAAACCATATTGCATAATAAAGATGGCAAAACTTTGTCATAATTTCTTTCTTTCACTCGATCAGTGCAAATATAACCAGACAATTGATAGATCCATATCTAATTAGTTACAGGAACAAAGTGTTCCTTCAATTAACAACGAGAATTTGCATATCCCAATTAGACGGCTTAATCTTAATCAATCAACATATTGATTACTAACATAAAATGTTAAGGCAATTTATCCATGAACAGGGATAGAGAGTTACCAGTTTCTGAAAAGTTCAGCGCCAGTAATCTTCTGGAAGCCAACTCATACAAGTGCTTAATTCACCAAACCAACTTGACTGCAACTTATATGTATATATGATGCAGGGAAAGTATTCTACCGTCAAAATTTCCTTTTGTCCCATGCGATAAAACGTCTCAAGGAGCCGTTAACCACCAATGGCCAAAACCAAGTAACGTATCATCCAAAATCATGGCAATTTTGTGTTACGACAATCAAGCCATCGTAATTATTGGGCCCCGATCTGGGCTTGGTTATTTTATTATTTAGTATTTTATTTCTTAATTATCTTTATTAGTAGTTTTCTTGTCTAAGTAGGATTTGGTTATTGTTAGTAATTTCCTTATAGGAGTAGGAGTCATGTTTTAGATAGGATAGGGTAGAGGCTTCTATGCCTATAAATATGTACTTGGTCTTTCGTTTAATGGTATGTTGAAGATTGGAACCCAATAGTAGTTGTAGTTATCTTCGTTCCTCTGAATATTCTCTTCGTTCTAACTCTCTTTCTTACGAATATCTTTCAACATCAACGACGCACATTACGTGAAGGTTCTCACCGGAGAAATACACGTAACAATTGGTATCAGAGCCTGGTTGCTCTGCGACTAACGTGATCTGGGAAGATGGGGCCAAAGAAGGCTACGCAAGCAACGACAACCTCCGATCAACCAGCGATCAACGAGGAGCTCCTCCAAGGTCTCCTCCATGGGCAGCAAGACGCCACCGGGCGAATTGACGAGATCGACCGACGACAGCAGGTAGTCGAGGAGGGAGTCTTGCAGATTGCGACCTCCGTGGCGCAAGGCAACAATGGCGCAACAATTTCAGGATGCAATGGCGCAGTAGCAAGCATCCTTGTTGGAGATAATGAGGCAGCTCATCACGAGCTCTGGCAAGGAGAAGGCAACGAGGGGTCCTTCGCCCATGCAACGTTCAACTGTGGGCATTTCTACCGGTGAGGAGCTAACCGTAGCTCTCTCATCACCAACTACGTACAGCCGCCGAGCTAACCGTAGCTCGCGTGCGACCAACGATCACCCCCCCAATCACCGTCTTCACCTTGACTGTCGTAGCCGAGGAGGAATCCCCAACCGCCGCATTCATCAAACCGCCAACGAAAGGGGTAGCCGTAGCCCTAAATCCACCGCTTGTGTCACCGTATGCTGCTGATCTAGAATACTCACCGGAGCTCTTGGATCGGTTCACATCATCGACGTTGACTACCAGTCCTGACCGAGGGATGACGTCAACACCATCTGCCTTTGCCACAGCTGTTGCCGCATCAACCACGGAACCGCAACCGCTCCAATTGGAGACAGTAACCTTGGGTACAATGCCTGAGAAAGTGACGCAACCGCCAAGGGAGCTGCTGCCTTCTGCGACCGAGGAGAAGGTAACGTCCGCCATTACGTGTACTGCTGGAGAAGGCTTAACGAGTAAGCAAAGATCCCAAGAGGAGCTCGCTCTAGCTCCAACATCATTGCTGCTCACGACGGCCACCATCGATTCCGTCTCCGCAGCTTTCCTACTAGCTGCCGCTACCGCATCTACTGTCGCAACACCATCATCTATCATTGCCATCATCACAGGTCACGGAGCCACCGACGACGAATGGGGCCGCAACAAGACCACCGACAATGATGGCAGCTCTGGTGGGGAAGAGGCTGAAGTAGAAGGGGGAATAATGCAACTCAAATTGCTTATGGGAGGAGGCTACGTATTGCATGAGGTGCATGGAGGTGGAATGAAGGGAGGGCATGGAAATTCCTTTTTCCATGATCTCATACGCGACATGGCTGAAGGCATGCATGGGCAAGTTCATTTTATACATGGGAAGTTAAGATGGGAAGATGGTAATTGGCCCACGCCGGTGACGCAAGAAGGAGATGTGAAAGTTGACGATGGATTCTTCCAAGTGCCCGGGCGTAATTGGAAGTTCCGTAAACGAGGGCGGCATCAACAAACGTCAATTCTCTTTGCTATCGTTAACAACTTCTTCATCGATCCAGGTTGAGGATTCTTGCGATGACCAACCTTGAGGGCAAGGTTGTTGCGAAGGGGGAGGAAATCCCAAGGAGGAAATACTAATTAGTAAATAAAATCCTACGCGAGACATGACCAACCTAAAGAGAATCTTTCAACATCAACGACGCACGTTACGTGAAGGTTCTCACCGGAGAAATACACGTAACATTTTGCATGGAGAATGCATCGTAAATGCATATAACACAATATCAAATACAAGGACAAAGATGGATGATATGATATTGTATGGAATTCGGTTAATACATAAGTCCATGGAACTACAGAAACAACAATGATGAAAAGCCCAATTCGTGATGCAAGTTTCCTTTCGACAAGCATGAAGCAACCAGTATATGCGAACAATAATAAAAAATAATAAGATTCTTTAAGATTGTTGTGAAAATTGTTCACGTATACTATTTTCTTGCAACACAAGCAAACACGTAAATTAAGAAAACATGCAAAGACACATGCAAGCGTCCTAGCCGATAGAATTCACCATCTCTACTTAAAGAATCTTATTCTATCCTCTAGTACCCAAGGTTATGGAATGATTCCTCCCATGATAGAAAGGAAGTACCTTTTCCGGTGTAGCGGTACCTCAAACCCCGGGACCCATCGAACGCAGCGAACTGGCTAGAACCACACTTGACTCGATTTTCTCTTTGAAAAGAATGCAGAAAACTAGTTTTGGATTTTAGCAGACTTTTGGTACAGGAAAAAATCCATGTAAAAACCAGAGGGGGTTAGGTGCTATTTATAGAAAATGAAGGGGTGCTTACGAAAGGAGACAACTCTTCGTATAAATGGTTACACCCCAACCAACACATTGGTTCGTTTTAAAATAATGAACCATTGCATCGGTTCGGCCCATGGTAGTTGGACCGGTTTGGTTATTCCAACCGCCATATCGGTTCGGTTCGATTTGGTTCAACTCGAATTGCTTTGGTCCGTTTGGTACACAAAACAATTTAACCGATTAACCACATATTATATCAAATCAATCGAATTCAAGGTCGTGCCTTCCCACATCTTACCAACATGGTAATTCAAGAGACTCTCTTGAAACTTTCCCCTTTCATTTCCATTCACACCACTAAAAGATCCAACAATAACATTATGAGAGAAAAATTCGAATGAATCAATCAATCCATAATACATACAAGTAATAAAATATTACAATCAACTCATCGTTAACCAAAGATGAAAGATATATACCACATTGTGAGGGGCAATGAATTGGGAATTTTCTTAGTCTCTTAACAATTCTTTTCATTTCAGATTTTCATCCAATATAATATATGATCTTCCTCTAAATTATGAGCTCGTATATTGTTGTCCACATTTTATAAGAACAAATATATCATGAGAACAATTATGAGTTTTATTTTTTCATGGATTGAAAAGAGGATGAACGTTTATTCTTGAGTGGTTATGCAAAGTATTAAGTATGAGTTTTATAGCCTATTAAATATACGACTAATTTTCTAATTGGTTAGCAATGTCCGAAACCAATCCAAACCAAACAAACTAAAAAATGTAACCAAATCAAATCAATTTTAAATTTATCAAACCAAATTATCCAAATATTATCAGTTAAAATTATGACAACAGTAACCAATTCTTTTGAATACCCCTACCCCTCCCCCGAATAAACATACACCAAGAGAGGGAAGGGGAATATTTACTGTTGATGATTCTTCTTCTTCTTGGACATGAGTTAGAGCTATTTCCCTTGTTAGAGTTATTTCTTCCTTGTCTTCCTCTTGCCCCTTGCCCTTATTTACGGATGATGCAGGACGCTAGCGGTCTTCGGACGTAATTTTCCATTTCAGTTGAAAAATGCAGTCAAATGTTTGGGTGGTTCCTTTTCGATGCCCACCTTTTCTTTAGGTGTTGGGGCAACGAAAGCCCCCACAAAGTTTAGGTTGGCTTCCAGCTCCATTGCGGCCGGCATCCTGCTCTTGAGGGAGTGGAGTTCTGGAGCGAACTACTCATTGTTGTCTTGCCCCAACCCCAGGAAGGGCATTTGGTGAGGAGCATTATTTTGAGGGAGGGAATGCGTGGTTTACAAGCCACTTCGAGGAGGCGACTGGAGTGGAGTGCTTTCATCAAATGATGCATGTGGGTTGTATTATTTGACTGATGGGGACAACAAACAATTAATTATAAGAAATAGAAAAATGAAAGAAATACTAAAAAAGATGTAATAAATAAGAATTGCTAAAAACGGTGGGTTCAAAGCTAGTACATATTTATAGGCTAAATTACACGTTTGGTCACTCAAATTACATAAATCTTTCACGTTTGCCACTCGAATTACTTTTCTTTCACATTCGCCACTAACATTACGATTCGTTTCACGATTAGTCACCCGCCGTCAGCCTCCGTCAGATTCCGTTAACTCCGTCAGTTTTTTTATGACGTGGCAAACGGAACAACTGACTGGACAGTTAAATAATGACATGTTAATTAAAAAAAACAAAAATGAGATAAAATCAGGCCCCACCTCCCCTCCATCGTCTTCTTCGCCTTCTCAAGAATCCTCTCCACAAAACCAAATTCCAAACTAGCAGATGCTACCGTGAAAAATTAAACGGCAGCCGCGACAACAATTGCGTCCTCGTCCTCCTTAAAGTTCTAGAGATCTCCGACGACCCTCTCCTCAATTGATTTCTTTGGTTCTTCTTCCTTGACGGCTTTCAATTGACACTGTAGCCATGACCGCGATTGTAACCATTCGCGTTTCGGTTCAAGTCGTCGGAACCCGAAACGAAATAATTGTCCTCCCCGTCGAAAGCATTGGAAAGATAGGACCCAATCCGGTTGAGGTCGTAGCGGAACCCGACATTGATTCCAAGCCGCAGCAACTGCAGCAGCAGACAACTGTCTCTGCTCGTGATTCCGCAGTCAATCAGTGGTGAATGGCGAGAAGGAAGACGAGGCTTAATTGCATTAACAGATTCACAGTCTTAAGCTTGAAGGAAAATGAGAGGCAGAGTAGCAGATTCACAATCGGTGGGTTTTTGGTTCGAATGACAGGCTGGGAGGAGAAGGAGATTGAAAAAGAAATCCACCGATTTTCTAATTTGGTTCGATTGGCAGGTTGGGTGGAGGAGGAGATTGAAGAAGAATTTATGGGTTTTTGGATTTAGTTTGATCGATGGGCGAGAGGGGTAGAAAATTGTAGAATCGAGAGGGAGATGGAGGAATCGGTAAAGACATGAGATATATCAAATTATGAAGGTAGATGGATATGGATTTGTGTGGGAGTGGAAGGTTGTTGACGAGATTGAGAAGATGCCAATGAAGATCTTGGCAGCGGAGGGGAAATCAGTGGTGGAGTTCTTTATGGATCTCAAGGTGATGGTGATGCATTTGTCGGGAGTGAGAGTCTCGACCTTACTCCCAAAGGCGAGCTTGCGGAGGTAATCCATGCTTAGCTCATTATAACCGAGAAGAGTGAGGATCGGACAGGAGAGCAGTGCAGAATCGCGAGCAGAAATCGCCGGCTACTGCTGCAGTTGTGGATTTGGTGGTGATTGAGCCGATGACGGGAACGGAGACTGTATCGACGGAAACGACAAAAGCGAGGTGTTTGGCAGAGGATTAGGGTGCAGTGTTAATTTATTTTTTTATTTTTTTTTTAAATTGACATGTCATTATTTAACAGTCTAGTCAGTTGTTCCGTTTGCCAAGTCATCAAAAAAACTGATAGAGTTAACGGAATTTGAAGGAGACTGATAGTCGGTGACTAATCGTGAAACGAATCGTAATGTTGGTGACGAATGTGAAAGAAAAGTAATTCGCGGCAAACGTGAAAGATTTATGTAATTTGAGTGACCAAATGTGTAATTTAGCCCATATTTATAGATAGGACGCAGAAATGCTTGTTAGAATGAGTGAATGACGTAACAGGAATCCACAAAATACCATCAACCGTTTCTTATTAAATCACTGAAACTCCTGAACGTTACAAGACGCGAAGACCTTAGTAGTAGAATAGTTAAGAGACTTTTCAGCCCATCTGGGAGAAACAGAAGATTCCTATGACTGAGCCAAACCGCATAGGAATCAACTCATAGGCAATCTTTACACGAGATAGCTTCTTCTACTACTACTACTACTACTAAGCATCATCATCATCTCCTTTGCCAAACAACTGCTCCACTTCCGAAAGAGTAGTTTGAGCATCATCAACTTCGGATCCTTTCTCACCCGATTCCTCCATCTCCACAAGAGTTGCCTTCAGGTCAGCCAGTGCAGCCTCGAGGCGCTTATGGCAATCTGGAATCATCATGCGAGATTCGGCTAGCACGTTCTCCTGCTGCTTCAGGTCATAAGGGTCAGCTCCCTTGTCTTTCATTTCGGATGTCTTGGCAGCCTCTCTTTCCACCTCTTTCTCATACGAGTGCAGCTCCTTTACTATGCGTTTGCAAGTGCTTGTCTTGATCTTCAGATTCCTGATTGTTGCCATCCTAATAACCTTACTACAGTTGTCTGGCAAAGAAAAGAGGGTAAATGAAGTCAAAATGAACTTCATCTGCTTTCAAAGAATGGAAACACATGAAAGACGGCTAATAAAAAGTCAAACAATATATGAGGAACTCAAGAATCTATGCAAGCAGGCAAATTATTCTACTGGAGTCCTAACTCTGTACAATCAATTCTTTGTCCCTGGATATCTTGAACAGCTCAAGGGCAGTGTCTATGGCTCAAAAGCTCACAGCTTGTTAAGCAGATAAGTTATGGTAAGAGACGAGTGTAAAAATTGCTCGGCTAAAGAGGATTTGAATCTTGAGGGAGGTTAAACGAAGCAAATCAACCTAGGTTCGTTAAATTTCATTCTGAAGCTAAGCTCATCATCTCAGTACAGCATTTCATGCCAGAGGGAGAAGAGGTTTTCATGATTATCAGCATTTGAATTGGGTAAACAACTTATGGTTGATAACAAACCAGTTACTAAACTATGTAAACAACTGAAGTGGTAATGCTTAATGAGTTCAGCAGACGGGACCAAACATGATTGGTTCAAAGAATACAAATACAGGATTTCAAAAACTAGAGGTAGATTCAGTTGGTAACTCGGGAAGAAGTTCAAAACAATGAGAGAAGAAGAGAACAGACTACTTGAGCTTTAGCGGTTCAGAAATATCCTAATGCCGTACAAATCTAGCAAAATGACTCATATCGTCTGCCATGAAGGTGTAGCGCCAACATGGAGTTGCAGACCAAAAGACCAACAGTACTCCAAAATATATATAGTAAATTCCAATAGATACAGAAGTGCCAACACCATAGTCCATAGAACCATGGGAAAAGCGACGTCCCTAGTTCTAACTTCTAAGTTCTACTAGAACAAACAGATCAGCTTGATCAGCCTGCTAATAAGCAACAGACTTGAAAGCTGAAGCTATATGCTCTACAGTCCAGGATTATCATCTTAACAGCCTAGCCTCTCAAACTTAAACTTCGTCACAATAGACTTTGGATTCACTTTGTCTTTTTTAGGAACACTTTGGATTCACTTAGGTCCGCCGTTCATTGCTTTATCTACCTCATCTTTAAACCTCATATGTCAAACCAGGATTTCTTGACTTTCCTATAAGAACCCTATACTCCATTAGAAGTAAAGCTTCGGTTTTTAAAGAACCCAAATCAAAATTCCCTTCCCCGCCCCTAGAAAATCCCACATATGCAGAGTTCTAGATAAGATCAATAACCAGACGAGACGAAAAAGAAGGAAAGAGAAAGCTTTAGTGAAATATTTGAGTCATACCTCGCCGCCAGGACTAGATCGCAGGTTGGCTTCCTCTGCTTGTTCCGCCGGGAAGAGGACTCAGACTATGGAGCTCGGAATCGGAATTCGGATCTTCCCTTTCCGCCAAAATGAAACGCCAACCGTTGGATGTATTGGATAGATTGTGGCCGTTGGATGATTACACGCAAGGCTTTGATGGCCCATGGGCTGGAGGATCCGGAACCTACATGGCCCAGCTCGCCTTCGAGCTTCCGATTCAGCCTGCTTCCGGAGACTGACTGAATGGGAAGAAGTTCGTCGGTTGCAAAATTGGAACTTTGAGAGTTGGCTGTTCGTTCTCGGGGAAAGGCAGAAAGCTAAGCAGAAATTGCTTCCTACTCGGGAAACCTACTGGTTAGTTCTGTTCTCGACTTGATTCTCTTGTTTATTTTCGCCTGCCGTGGAATTGTTCAATGTAGTTGAATTCATGCCACCAATGGATGTTTAATGTTTCTGTTTGGAGTCTGGTTTCATTGTTATGGCGTCTGCACAGATGGGTACAATTGTCACGACAGAAAGTTTAGAACCTTCTCTGTAGGAATGGTCATTAGAGTGTTACAGACGAAGAAAGTAATGAACTTCTATACGTTTTGTGTATATGGAACTCTGTTTGGCAGCTATCTGGTGATTTTGTATGTTCCTTTGTAGTCAGCAATGTCTATCACTAAATAGTTGAATTCTTCCATATCTTAGATTGGAAGGAGCAATTTGCATAGTTTGATTGGTAGACGGTCAACATTCATGGCGAATCAGGCTGTTGAAAGCTTAGAACGAGAGGAAGAGGTGGTGAATTTGAGAAAGCTAGGGCTGTATGAAGGGAACGTGAGGGTGTTGCTGGAAGATGAAGAATCTGCTTCAGAAGAGATCATGCTGTTATGGGGAATTCAACAGCCCACTTTCTCCAAACCGAATGCTTATGTCGCCCAGACCTCGCTCCAACTCCGCCTTGATGCTTGTGGTCACTCCCTCTCTATTTTGCAGTCTCCTTCTTCATTGGTACTTGCTTCCTTGTTGTTGTTTTTTTTTTTTTTCAAAATCTTTTATAGCTATCGCTGTTTGCCTTCATTTTATGATTATCACCGTACCTCAATTGTTTTGTTAAATTTGATATACCAGTCGACATTTGTTCTATTTGGTACAACAGTCAAAATGTTATCTTTATATCTTGGTTCTGGATTACTGTTATTTAAGCCTTCAATTTGTTATCATGAGTTACATTCTGCATTACAGGGTACACCTGGAGTAACAGGTTCGGTAATGTGGGATAGTGGCATTGTATTAGGCAAATTCTTGGAACATGCGGTAGATTCGAAGACGCTTGTCCTTCAAGGCAAGAAGGTTATCGAGTTGGGTTCAGGCTGTGGATTGGTAGGGTAAAGATAACTTCCACTTTCTTTTATATGTTTTGGATCTTCATGTGGTTTCTTTCTGGGTAGTAAAAAGGCAGGGGCTTGCATAGAGAACCTTTTACTATGTAGTACGTACAGTCAGAACAAAAGGCATACCCTGCATTGGCTTGCGCATGTCTGGGTTCTATAAAAAGGAAGAAATGAAGGATGCTCAGAGAGCAGTATTATATTAGTTTCGCATAACCTTATGCCAGATTCAATTCGATTTGCAGCTTTGTAGCATCTCTTTTGGGTGCTGAAGTTATACTTACTGATCTCCCTGATCGACTGAGACTGCTCAAAAAGAATGTAGAAAGCAATCTAGGAAATGAACACCTGCGTGGGTCTGCAGTAGTGGAGGAGCTTACTTGGGGTGACGAACCTGATCCGTGCATGACTCAACCTTTGCCTGATTTTGGTAAGCAAGCTTAACTCTAGATTTCCCAAGTTCCAATAGGTAGTAGTACCAATACTCTGCTATTTTTTACCAGCAGGTTATTGATACTGCTGCTGAACCAAACTTTTATTCTATTCTCTCGAAAAGCCTTTTATGACTTCATCGTGGATCTACCATGTATCAACTGCCCAAATTTACACTCTGCAAATGCAAATAGTGGCTTTGGTGATCCATGGAGTTTGGAATTCATAAGGATGACCCACGGATTTTTAAAAGCTCAAACCTTAGACAGGGTTCCTGAAGTACATCCCTAATGTTAGTCTGCTTTGTCCTCCCCTACTTTAGTCAATTCCAAAAAAGGGGAGTTATGGTTAGTCAATTGCAAAAAAGGGGAGTTATGGAGAGAGACAGAGAGTCATGCTGGCAAGAGTATTTATGTGATTGTTATGATGTTTCAGTTGTGGGGTCAGACGTGGTATATAGCGAAGGACCGGTCCTTGATTTGATAGACACACTCTTGAAGCTCTGTGGATCACAAACAACAGTATTCATAGCAGGGGAGCTCAGAAACGGTAATACTGATCTCGCCCCCCGTCCCTTCTTTACTTGCAGCTTTACCTCTCGGCATCATCTGTTGTTAAAACCAATACATTGTTCTTCATACTCCAGATGCAGTGTTGGAGTACTTCTTGGAGGAAGCCATGAAGGTATTTGTGGTGGGGCGCGTGGAGCAGTCGGAATGGCATCCTGACTATCGCAGCCCCCGTGTTGTGATGTATATTATGGTGAGGAAGTAGCAGAGAGTTATATGGTAGAGAGCCAAGGAGTGCAAACTTCCTGAATTCATTTTTACACTTGGTTTCTTCTCCTCTGTCAAAGATCAAGTCACAGTGGCAAAGTTATGGTTCAGAATTTCGCGGCGATAACTGGGTGTTAACTACAAGTACGTAATCTGAGTGGTCTATGTAATGTATGAAGATCGGTTTCGAAGTGCAAACAAAACTGATCTTCAAAACCAGCAGTGAATCCGTAAATGTTTTTTTTTTTTTTCAAAAGATATTATATTGATCCAAAAAATAGAGAGTTACATCCTGGAAACCAGTCGGGCCCGAAAATCAAAGAAGCGACTCATAGTCGGATACAAGGAAAGAGTTTTTCTAGCTACCAAATGAGCTACCCTATTGTTCTCCCGACCTACAAAACGCACAGTAAAACCAGGCTGGGTACGTAAAAAATGACCTATCTCTGCCAGGATAGCACCCAACCGGTTGTCTCTTGTGTCGGCTTGATTAATTTTGTCAATAATCACCTTCGCATCCCCCTCAAACTAGACCTCCGACAAGCCACATTTCACGCACAAAATCATTGCCTCCCTAAGCACAAGCAATTAGGGATGGCAACAAAACCCGAACCCACGGGTACCCACCCGACCCAACCCGGTCAACGCGGGTAAAATCCGTGTTGACGGGTTTTAGGCCGGGTTCGGGTTTAAACCCGCTACACTATTCACCGGGTCGGGTTGGGTTTGGGTTTAGGTAAACCCGATCCATGGGTACCCGCCCACACATATAATTACTTTCCCGGTATATTTAATATTCTAAATAATATATTTTCCTTAAACAATTAATATTCTTTATGTTTGTGGAGACATGTATAATTTGTTCTTTCTAATTGTTTAGAATGAAGTTGATATTATGAAGTGGAGAGTGAAGAAACTTAGTTGACGAGGAAGAAGTTTTCAATTAATCTTTCGTTTATAGATGTTTATCTTTAATTTTGAACAATTTGTATTGATAATTTGCGGTTTGCTTGTATGCTCTAGATTGGTGTTTTTTTGTATGAGAAAATTGATGTTAAACTTTTATTTTGAAAGAAACTTGTTATTGTAAATTTTTTACCACAAAAACCCACGGGTACCCATGAACCCGCGGATACCCAGCGGGTTGGGTTGGGTTTGAGTTTTTCAAACCCAACGGGTTTTACCCCGGGTTTTTTTGGCCGATAAACCCATGGGTTTGGGTTTGAGTTTGACAAAACCCGCCCCAACCCGACCCATTGCCATCCCTACAAGCAATTCCACCACAGCAGGCTCATCCAACTGCGGAAACTGAATCCCCCTTGCCAGAAGGAGCGTCCGCGCCAGGTCAAGAACTATCATCCCACCAACCGAATGCGACCCACCCTTAGTAGCTCCATCCCACATGCAAACCAACCGGGGATCCCCCACTGGAGTAATTGGTTGAATCGACGGACTCATCACCTTAGGAGCCTGATCCGCTGGCAAGCCCACCCATTCCACATATTGTTGGTTGAATTGTCGCATGAGCACCGGGATCCCAAACTGTTTGCCTTCAAAGACAACCCAATTACGAGACCGCCAGATCCGCCAAAGGATGGCAACAACCGCTATCACCAAGGTCGGCTGATGTATCAGCGGCAACAGACGATTGAGGAATAATGGAGAAGTGTGCCGAGGCAAACCCTCCCCCAAGTAATCCAGACTGAATAATCCCAGAGAGCCCGCGCAACCGGACAATAAAGGAATAGGTAAGCTTATCAGTCACATTTTGACGCGGGAGAGGAATAGCCTTAATGACCCTGCAGGTAGGCGGGTCAAACAATTGACTGAGCTTTTCATCAGACCACCGTCCTTCCCCTTCACAAATCACCTCCGCCACCAAGGGATCACCCCCCTCAGGCAAGATCCGCGGATTATAACAAGGGGGTCAAGTTGGTACCCCGGAATCCAGCTAGAATGGAGGAGAGAGGCCGATTGGCCATTACCAACCTGCCATCTTAAGCCCATCTCCAATAACTGTCATCCGTGCAGGATACTCTGTCACCCCCAAGAAGGACAAGACCTAGCCGTCGCCGTAAGGAATGACCCTTGAGGGAAATACTTTCCTTTATAGATCAGGGCGAGGAGGGACTGATGCTCATTTAGAATACGCCAGCCTATCTTAGCTAGGAGAGCTTGGTTGAAATGCTCAAATTGGCGAAATCCCATCCCCCCCCCCCCCCCCATCATGTTTACTCATGCACAGATTACGCAAGGACACCCACCTAACCTTGGGATGACCCTCCTCAACACCCCACCAAATATGGGTCACATGTCTATCTAAGAGGCGACAAAGAGAGCGGGGGAGCCGAAAACAAGACATAACATGAAGGGGGAGCGCCAATGCTATGGATTTAATCAAAGTTTCCTTAGCTTCCCATGACAAAGTCCGTTGCTTCCACCCCTGAAGACACTCAATAAGTTTCTCCTACAAATATATGAACATAGCCATTTTGGACCTGGCAACCAACGTGGGAAGCCCCAAATATTTATCATGGACCCCCCACTGCACCAACCCCTAGGACCGTGGCCAAGAACTCCTGATTTGGTATGGAAATATTTTTGCTAAAGCACACCGCAGATTTCTCCAGATTCAAGCGTTGGCCACTCAGTTCCTCATATTCATTCAGCACGTCAAGAAGATTCTCGCACTCCTGAAGGGAACCTCGCAAGAATAAATAGGAATCATCCGCGAAAAACAAATGAGAAATTCTTGGAGCACGAGGATCCACCTTAACCCCCTCGAGTTTTTTTTCCGAAATTACCTTTCGGAGGAGGGCTGCAAACCCCTCTGTGCGAGCACAAACAAGAGGGGAGAGAGCGGGTCCCCCTGGCGAAGGCCCCTAAAGGCCGTGAAATAACCCGAGGGTGTACCATTCATCAGAACCGAGAAGGAGAAGGATCAAAGACACTCATGTATCCATCCTTGCCAGACAGAGTTGAAACCCATTTTATCTAAAACTGCCAGAAGGAAGGGTCATTCGACTCTATCATAGGTCTTTTTCATGTCAACCTTTAGAGCCATGTACCCCTTCTTCCCTTGCTTTTTTATTTTTAGATAATGCATTAGCTCTTGTCCTATAAGGATGTTATCAATAATCTGCATGTCTCTTATAAAACCATTATGGCCCTCTGAGATTATCTGAGGGAGCAGACTAGCCAGCCGCTCAGCCATGATTTTGGTTATCACTTTGTAAACGAACTGACAAAGGCTAATTGGGCGCAGCTGTTTAATTGTTTGATAGAAACCTATTTCTAGGGTTCTATCGATTGGGTTGGGAATTTGGGAATTGATTGAGATTTAGGGATTTAGAAGGGAATTAGGGATTAGGAACAGAATTTAGGGAGAAGAAGAACAGAATGGTCGGCGGCCAGATTAGGGGGAGAAGAGAGTTTGAGAGGATTAGGAGAGATTAGGTTTGAAAGGATACTTTGATAATTCTTTCTTGATTGATTATAACTGAATACCCAAGTACATATTTATAGGGAAAGATAGAAAAACCTAATAGTAACCCTAATACGACTAAAAGACTACTAACCCTAATAATAATTATCCTACCATAATTAATAACTGAACCCTAAGAAATAGGCTTCTATCATCCCCTCCGCCTTGAGACCAACCTTGCCCTCAAGGTTGACCAACTTGATCCACTTTTTCACGGCGTCCGTGTAAACCGCACCTTAACTCTACCATCTCTTGCGCTTCCTTTTCTTCCAATCACGCTCGTGTACCCTCACAAGACTTCTAGCACAAGCATTTATGGCCTCCATTGATTCTTGTCCACCCTCGTGACTCATCCCATGATACCCATGGTCACCCAAGCCGGCATCTGCCCTTTCAAATTCCACATAATAAGAATGTGCAAGATCCACAACAATCCCACCCTTTTGCATGAAATGATACTTCCACATTTCCTCACTGTAATATGCGTCGTAGGCTGGTATCCAATTATTGAGCATCTCTTGGACCCATGCTTTCACTTCTTGTGGTCCTTTACAACTACCCGAAACATACCCAAGCATCCATTCCCCACTTCCCTGCTCCCTCGGTTCCCTGCACGACTTTCCCACCTAAACCTTCCTTAAGCCTGGCCTCGCACAACAATAATAGTGGATCAATATCCACCACCCAAGCATGCAAATAATCTCCACCCGTACACTTCAACACCCGGCCCCGAACGTCCCAACTTCAACCCAAGCTTTAGATTGGCCCAATTGTCCCAAGAACCTCGAACCACTACCGTGTGCTCCTGGGTTGAGCGCACTAGGTTTGCGAGAGGATGGCACCCACCGCCGCTCCTCGTCCTCATTTCCTCCACCGACCACAGGCGAACCCACATCCGATGGGAAGCCAAGCCTGGCATAGCCATGCACGTCGTCGACTCGGTTCTCCCCTTCGATGTCGCCCGTAGCGCAGGTTGCGGCCTCCAGTCCAGGGTCATCACGAACGGAGTGGCCTTAGATCTTAGCTCCAGCGGACTCTCCTCCATCTGCAAGGAACACGATTCCTTTCTCGTCTCCAACTTTGTCTTTCGGCCCGTCGCTTCTTCTCTTTCCGGCGACAAACAATCAACCCGGCGAACAGGTTGCCCTCGCACTCCTCACCGGATTCCCGACCAGGGCGATTCCTCTCGGCGGTTCGTCGTCCCCAACTTGCATCGTTGCTCGCCGTCGAGGAGGAGCTCGGTCCACGGCGAGTGAACCTCAGGGCTCCTAGTCGCCCGTGTTTCTGCATTCGTAGGGGCAGGCGGGGTTGACTCTGCCTTGCTGGACCCGGAGGCGATGCCGACGCCTTGCTTGGTGGTAATGATGGCTTGGGACCCGATGGAGGTTGCTCCTTCCTGATCTACGATCGTCGGTGTGGCCAACGATGTCACGATCGAGGTCCTAGGAGAGATGGTGGTCTTCGATTCATCTTTGCTGGTCACGTACTTCTTCTTGCTAAACTTCTAATTGATTCCTACATTCTTCCCCATAAAATCACTAAGTAAAGGTTGGGACTCTATGAAGTTCACCTTTAATGTCTTGTCCCATTCCAGATCCGATTCAGTCATCTTCCCACATGACTCTTTCGTCTCGACCAAGGAGATTGGGATCTTTGAAGCCCCAACAATGGTAATCGGTGTTGCAGGTGCGATGAGGCAAGCAAGTGTTGTAGTCGTCGCCGGACGTAGCTTCTGTTCGCCTGGGATCGCTGCAGCCCGACCTTCTTCTTCGACAGCAGCTGGAGGAGGTATGGTGGCTGCTCTTGTAGAGGTCGGCAGCCCTTGGATTACCACTGCTACAGTAGCCACTGTAGTGGTCGCATAACCATCATCCTCTCGCGGCACCCGCGACGGTGATCCTTCTTTCTTCGATGGCGGGGCGGTACACGGATGGGTAGCTGGTGTGGAAGTGGCAGCGATAGCTAGGCCTTGCAGCATCAACTTCCTAGCCTCCTCCTCCCGCTTCGCCGCCCTCATCCGTGCCTCCTGATTACGGCGTTCCAAGGTCTGCTCCAGCAACGCTTGTAGCCGGTACCACTCTGCATCGAAGAGCTGTGACAAGCTCATTATGGTGCAATTGTCCCTAGTTCAGAGTTGTGACGAACTCAATCTCGGAACGAGGCTCTGATATCAGATGATAGAAACCTATTTCTAGAGTTCTATCGATTGGGTTGGGAATCTGGGAATTGATTGAGATTTAAGAATTTAGAAGAGAATTAGGGATTAGGAACATAATTTAGGGAGAAGAATAATAGAATGGCTGACGGCCAGGGGGAGAAGAGAGTTTGAGAGGATTAGGAGAGATTAGGTTTGAAAGGATACTTTGATAATTCTTTCTTGATTGATTATAACTGAATACCCAAGTACATATTTATAGGGAAAGATAGAAAAACGTAATAGTAACCCTAATACGACTAAAAGACTACTAACCCTAATAATAATTATCCTACCATAATTAATAATTGAACCCTAAGAAATAGGTTTCTATCATTGTTCCTTTCACTAAGAGCAGAAAAGTGAGAAATGCTACTTACAGGTAGGGCTGCAAATGAGCCGAGTCGAGTTTTACCTCAGCTTGAGCTCGGCTCGTTAATAAACGAGTCGAGTTCGAGCTCAGTTCGTTTATTAATGAGCCGAGTCGAGCTCGAGCTAGCTTGTTTATTAAAATCTTGACTTTTATTTGGTTCTTCATTTTGTATATCATGATACATATGATTTATTTTGTTAGCTAATCTCATATTATACTTTGTTGGTATCATATATCATTTATTTAATAAATTTTAACTACTCCAAATCGTGTTATTTCATAGTATCGAAGCAATCTATTATACATAATTTCTTTTTAAAGTAGAAAATCACATACTCAACGTGTTAAACTATATATATGGTGAGATATATAATTTAACAACCATATGATTTAAAATCATAAGATATAGATTGATTCGTCCATAAGTTGGTAATCGAGTTGGCTCTCTAGCCACATGTTAAGACATATCATGAGCTCTAAACGAGCCAGCTCACGAGTTTAGCTCAACAAGCCACCGAGTCGAGCTAGCTCGCGAGCTTCACGAGCTGAAAAAGGTGAGCTCGTGTTCGGCTCGTTTATTAACGAGCCGAGTTTCGAACGAGCTTTTCTCGAGTCGAACGTTGAGCCGCTCGCGAGCAACTCGGCTCATTTGCAGCCCTACTTACAGGCCTTTTAAAGATTAGAGGCCGTAAATGTTAACGAGTGGACGAATTACAAATCTTTGTTACGAATAGTTTCGTAATAAAGCAGCTTCGGAGATAAGAGAAGAGCATTAGGCTTATAAGAAGTGAACTAGTCTCCCTCTCGCTCGCACCCCATTCTAATTTCTTCCCGCTCTGAGACTGACCCTATGTTCTTGAAGAGTGGAAAAGGAGGGGAAGGGAAAAAGGGGAAGGAAAGTTGGAATTCCCAAACATTTTCCTCCGTTTTCGAAGAGAGGAACAGTACGAGAGGAAAGAAAAGGGCTGGAAAAAACACTGTTTCACCCTCCCCTCCAAATCGGAGGGAAAACACTGAGTGGGCTTAGTTTCTTTTTTATTTTATTTGCATCATCTCTCTTTTATCTTTTTTCTTTGTTCTTTTTTCCCCTTTCTTCTTCGTTCTTTCTTTCCACAAAACCCAGAAAATTCATCACCTGCAAAAGGAAGAAAATAATTGGAAACCAATTGAAAGTGAAAAAAAGAATAAAAACGAACCCAGAAAAATATCTCTCAGTTGAAGCTACTCTGTTGCCCCATCGTCGTTCGTCGGCGAGGATGTCGACGACCGTCTCTGGTCATCTCTTTTCATCGATGTAATCAGGACCTCAAAACAACTAAACTCAATTAAAATCAAGAAAAATACAGAAAATAAAAGAAAAGATACATGCATGCCTTGATCTTACCTGAATCGATGCTCTACTTTTTGGATTGGGTTAACCCAAATCGTTTTGTAGGCCGAGAGAGGGAGAGGAAGAAGAAAGAGTGGGAGAAAAGGGATCTCTGTACATGCAGAAAAAAAAAATAAGAACGGAACAGGTCTAGGAATTTTTTTTTTCGATTACAAGAGACAAGAGAGCGCCATGGTGAAGGGACTAGGGAGTAGGAAAGAGTAACAGGTTTATGGGTTATTTTTTAATTGAGTGGAGAGAAAGCAGGTGGTCAGATTAATAGGATGGAGTAAATTTGGTGACAATTTAATTGAGATTGGTAGGGGAAATTAGGGTAGTATTTGGTCGTTTAATTGGAAAGATCAAGGCATTTATTAATTGAATAAGTAATTTGCATATTTATTTGTCAAATATTAATTTTAAAATATTTTATAATTATTAGATGTGTCATTAGTTTATAGACACAAACGACATAAATCGCAAACTACAAACTTACGGTGTATTTTGTGTGTAAAACTCTCATTTTGTATCATAAGTAAAATATTAACATACAATCAAATTATTTTACTATTATATAACCAATAAAATAACATATTCATCACACTTTCCAAAACATACTTTCCTTTCACTTTCCTCCATAAAACACATGTTCCTCCTAATTTCCTTCACTTCCAAATCTCACATCCCCTCCTAATCTTCCTTGACCTCCCCTCCTTTTCCTTCCTTCTTCGTAAACAGAGGGTGAAGAAATGGCGGCTCCCGCTGCCTCTCCTTATCCTAGTCCATTCTCCACAGCGCGACGAGTTCAGAAACCCAGTACCACTTTTCTCGTTTGCGGCCCCGCCATTCATCTGAAGAACGCAGAGCTTCGATTCCCAAGCATCCGGTGTCGACACCCAGGAATTGGGCGACAACGTTGCTCCTCGGCCTCGGCCTGCCTGCCTTCCTCGTCATCACCTCCGAAAACTAGGCTTTTCGTAAGCGGTCAGTTCCTTTCCTTCCTCACTTGTTCGATTTCTCTCCGTTTCAACTTGGCCCTCAAACAGGGAACAGAATTGAAGCATAATTTTCGAGATTGGGTAAGTTCGGATTTGCTCTGTCGCTACTGGCCTACCATGATCGTATTGACTGTATTTGGACCTGTAGAACTCCGAGTTTGGTGATTAAGCTCGTTATATCTTATCTGTCTGGTTTAAGAAATCTGCATATTCTAACTTGGGCAAGCATCCATTACTTGGGAACTCGCGAATACCATTACCAGGTGTAGCTCAAACGAGGGGTGTAAGTGTGTAACGGTAGACAAGGAGGAATCCAGCAACCGGGCGGATTGCTCCGTTGGAGCTGTCTATATATCTCACAACTTGAGGCCAAATCCGAGCTCCAATCCCTTCTAACTTTACAATTTGGATCCTCAGTAGAATCAAGTGATGCTGTAACATAGACAAGATGAAGCCCAGTTTTGTATTAAAACCTGCACGTTCGTCTCTCTTTTGCTTCTTCTCTGTGATAGCTGTGGAACTTCTGTAACTACACTGACCTTGCAGTGTGGGCCGATTTCGTACAGGTCTATCTTTTCGCACCACTGAGGAAAGTCTGCGGAATGCTTTCCAGAATTTCGGCCAACTCGTAGAAGGTGATGACAGTGAATTCTATCTTTGAAATCAATTCAGTGATGTCTTTTTTTCTTTCCAGTCAGGTTAGTCTTTTGTTTTCCAGCCTTCTTATAGTTGTGGTTGCCCCTACAGTCAATCTCGTGATGGACAAGATTGCAAGAAGGCCTAGAGGGTTTGCCTTCCTTCGTTATGCCACCGAAGATGAATCCCAGAAGGCAATCGAGGGAATGCACGGAAAGGTAAGCTTCGCCACTGCACGAGTAGCAATAACGTAGTCCATTTTCGTTTAGACGAGGTTATTGACGAGCAACAACCAATCTCCCCCCTCATAGTTTCTGGATGGCAGGGTGATATTCGTGGAAGTTGCCAAACCCAGATCAGAGCTCCCCAAAGGTCCAACGCAGAACCGATGAAGGCCCTTTGCGCACTATGATTTTTTGAACTCAGTACAGAAGGTGAGGGCATATCTAGCCTTGCCTCTCAAACTATGTAACCTTCTCACACTTCAATCAACAAGAACAAAAACAAGTCCTCTTGCTTATTTGTCCGTTGGTACGCTAACAACTGCTCCAGATTCTGCTGCAAACCATTGTGCAAAATGTTTAGCAATCAACTGGAAGGGCAAAATCAGAAAACTCGGAATGCACGAAACTGGAAAGGATTCTGAAATCGTTCAGTCGGACAGCCTGGGAAGTCAGGGGGGAGGCTAAGAATGTAACAAAAGGAGGCTGAGAGAAAATAACACTCGGGAGTGACAGCATACAACAAAAGAGCGTCCAAAAGGGAAGTCATTTGATGAACAAAAACCAACAGATTAACTTATTTGAGCCACAACATATATTCAAGTTAAATCGCAGTTCTTCCACGGCCGAAACGAAACTCGTAGCAGCAACCGCAGGTGCAGGACTAAGGGTCTGACGATCCGATCATCCAGCTTCTGCGGCAAACAGAACCTAGTGCTGTGGCTGTGGCCGTGGCGATGAATAATTTACAATTAGTAGGGAGCTTCCCTGTACCCACATTCTCATCCCTCACAAATCTTTGCCCGTCTCCTCTTCCATGCTAAAAAGCCACCCAACTTTTGCAGGCCGCTTCTTCAGTTGAAGAGACTGTAAAGACCAAAAATTAGGTTCGTCTACAGGTTTCTTTAACGTTCACTACGGGGCTTCACCGCCAGCAAAATTAGCTCCTCTTCTTCTCCAACCTATCTACACAATGAGAGGCCAATGGGGAGAGATGGAATTTTTACGGGCTAAGAGCAAACTCTAGCCCTTTGCTGATCTCGCTCTTCTGACGCAACCAATGATGATTTCATGTCTCTCTCAGCTAAGCACCTTTTGTATGGCACAAACCCCCTCATCGAATTGCTCCTCGCATTACTGGTAAACATTTGGCGTTGGGACTCCCCTACATCCATGGATCTCTCTCGTTTCTCTACTTCATTTGTTGATCCTGCATCGGAGCCGGAACAAGATCTTTCATCCACAGTATCCTTCTCCTTTGAATTGTCTCCCGTAAATGATTGCCGAGAACTCTTAGACAGTCCGTCAAATAAACTCCATGGTGGTAACGAACAATCCGTTTCAGAGATACCAGCGCTCTCTCTCTTAACTTCAGTGTGGAAACTAGACAAAGGCAACCCATTCAAATCATGGTTAGCTAAACCCAGTGACAATTTGATGCCCGAGGACTTCTGTTTGGCAATGCCATGGTCCATGTCAACATTTGCTTGGCTGCCCCCTACCACATGCTTCTCGGAATCCATAACCAACACTGTTCTCCCAAACAACTTGAAGCTCTTGGAACGAGCCATTGGGACTGCTCCCTCTGCTTCAGGGAGAGTTGCATTGTTGGAGCCATCCTCCGGATTCTGGAACAAAATGGATAGAGCAGAAGGGAAGGCAATCAAAATCAGCACTTTACATTCGCAGTACTAGGCAGGCAAATCATTCAGAGTTAACAAAGGATTATTATCTTACCGTGAGAAACTTCTCCATCATTGGATCAGAAGATGCTCCCTCAGGTGAAGAATTTGCGTTTTCTTGGAGCGGAGAGACATCTGATACTAAGGGTTCACTCTCTTTCTCATGAGGCAATAACATGAAGGACTGAACATCGCTGGTACATGAGGTCAGCGAAGAGCAGCGATTCAACATCTCCGAAGCTGGAGAGCCCAATGCCTCCGAGCCAACCACGGACAACACAGAGGTCGGGGAATTGTTCCCCTTCTCCATACCCAACAAATTTGGAGACTCGGATCTCTCAGGAGCATCAATGCATTTACGAGGGTAAGGATGCGAGGGTTTCCTCTTTGGACGAGGAGGGGGGATCTCAATTGGTTTCAGGGAACTCTCTGAAACCCCAGTTGTCTCACGCACCACCTGAAAATTAAGATCGACACTACATGTCAGAAGGGCCATTCTGCTTGAGCATCACATTCAGCACATTCAACAATCAGAAGCTGGACGGACCTTGGAGAAAAACTTTTGAGCATGGCTTCGGATTTGAACAGCAGTTTTGGTGCCTACATGTTCTGCAAGAGGGATAATAACAAAACTTCATCCACTGATAATTGGAGCACACACAGAAGTTCCTGAAGAGGATCAAGGGGGAGTGGCGGGGAGTACAAAGGGGGTATTATTCACACCTTGAATCTTACGCCAGCCACGGCCATACAACTTCAGAGCATCCAGGAACTTCTGGTGTTCCTCCTCCGTCCACTTCTCCCTCTGTTTGGTGATGGTGTAAGGCTTCCTCAATTTGGGAGTCTGCTGATGACTCCCAAACGAATTCAATTCTATCAACTGATCTCCACCATTGTCATCATAGCATTCACCTCCCGAAGCCGACATATCATTAGGACCTTCCTGAACTTGATCCTGCAAACACCGCGCCGATTCGTCGAATCAGAACAAGACGATCTCCACTCAACAATTGATGCAAATAGCACAATCACAGTTCACAGCGGTCAAAACGTGGCATCTAAAACACCAAATCTTAACTATTGAAAATGCTTCTTATCCCCAACTACAGTGGCACCAGAAAAAATCGATTTGAATTGAATTGACAATTTTCTCTGTAATCAAAGCTAAGCGAAACGGCAGGCTACACGCTTATGCTTATCCAAGAAGAATCCCGAAGACCCGAGACCAGTGGGAGTACTTAATTAATTCTGACGTAAGCTGGTTCTGACATAAGCCAAGCGGCAATTTGCTAAAAATAACTCTATATAATATTATCCAGAAAAATGATAGAAAAATCATAAAGTACCTGAGAAGCAGCCATTAGAGAGCTGGACCTAATCTTATCTTTCCGATTTCAAGCCTCAGATTCACAAATCTCTGTAAACAAAAAAACAAAGCCGCCGTAGTCAGCACCGGCAACAACACCAACGAGCTCGAGAAGGAAAATCAAGCAGGAAAAGGAAAGGAAATCAGCAATCGAAGTCGAGAAAACTCACATGAGATGAGAACAATCCGATCTCCACTACCCCGTCGCCGAGGAAGTAGCAGCTGAAGAAGAAGAAGAAGACAAGTAGCTCTCTCTGCAACGACTCTATTTTCAGCGGTGGAACAAAGGAGCTCGAGAAGCAACTGAGAGCGAAGAGAAGTGATTGGACGCAGGGAAAACAGGAGAAATTTTGCCGGGGAAAATCTAAAAGTAGAGAAGGAAGAATCAAGAATGAAAGATCGAGGAGAGAAAACGAAAGAGAGAGGGAGAGGAGATGTAAAAATGGGTTTGGTTGAGGGGAGGGTTTGTTAAATAAATAAAAAGCGAAGGAAGGAGGGAGGGAGGGGCGGAAAAAGGAAAGGCAATGAAGGGTGACACCTCAGCAGGCAATATTTAATTTTTGGTCCCGAATTTTGTTTTTTTTTTCATTAGTTGGGGGAGGGAAAATTCGAGAAGCAGGGAGGAGAAAAATCTTGTGGCTGAGAATGGAAGAGAGGCGGGGACACGCGGCAGTTGCTTAGTGAGTGTTAGGCTGGCAAACACCCTTTTTCGCTTTCTTTCTTTCTTCTTCTTCTCGGCTCTACTTACTTTGATGTGTTTTCTTGTGGAAGATATTGGCGCACCCATCCATCGCCCACCTCCATTTTGGATAACTCAATTTAGGATATTTTATCAACCACTTTAATTTAATTGGTATCCACAAAAATAGAAGATAAGTGTTCTTTTATATCGTCTTGTTCTTACTTACTGTTAGTCCCGCGATCTCGGTAATCGAATAGACACATATTTGTAAATTCGTCTCTTGTTATTCTTACTTACTGTTAGTCCCGTGATCTCGGTGTTGGAGAGACACATATTTGTAAATTCGTCACTATGTTCGCTTCACGATTGAGATCACGAATAGTTAGACTAGATCGATAAGGTAAAGTAACTAATTTTCACAGTTTACTCAACTTAGTGGTTTTTGTGTGTGTGTGGAAGTAGCTGGTTGGGAGACAGGAGGAGACCCATTTATGTGTAAGCAGGAGATTCGTTTGTCTGCAATCCACTAAGGTTTTTTTCCCGTTCTTTTCTTGTTTGGTGTAAAAACAAAAAAGATATTAATTTTTGGATTTTCTGGGAAGAGAGAGAGAGAGAGGAGGGGGGAAATCTGGTCCACAAATTGGAAAAGGCTGGGAAAATGGAATTTGCTGAGAAAAATTAGATAAAATACTCAACTCATTTATTGGTGGTATGGTTGCGACCCTTGAAAAGAGGGTGTTTTCCTTACATGGCAAAGGTTGGGCGAAAATACAACGAAAAGGAAAAGCAAGCTGGGCAAAACATAAATAAATACTCTATTTTAGTCTTCCTAACTGAGCTAAGGATGCTCTACTCTTTCTAAATCCTTCACTTAAGATCAAAATTACAGTCAAAGTGTCACATTTTCTTCTCTTAATCTCGACCTTGTCTTGTGATTTCTTTTTTATAGTTTTATCCACCTTTTCAACTATCTTGGTTATATCGTTTGTTTCCCAGGCAATTTCATTCATGTGTGTTTTCTTCTTCCATTTCTTTTGGCTACGAATTATGTAATAAACAAAAATTACATCCAATAATACTTGAAATTTTTTCTCAGTCATGACATCAACTCAATTTTCGAAGAAAATAAGGCACATTTAAAGTATAAATCAAACATAACATAATCAATAAATAAAATCAAGTTCTAGCATAATTTAATAAAAGGGGTATTCGTATCATTAGACGGACCATTCTATTATTAAGATGATATATACAACCCAAATAAACATGTACAACAATCACTTCTACATGATCATGCAAATGGTCTAAGAATGTCACCATCGAAAGAGTCACCACCGCCAAACTACGAAAAAACAAATGCTGCAAAGACTCCTCTCATGCAAAGAAATTGGACAAACACTAGTTCATGCTACGCATCTTTTAGCCAGTGACAGAGTTATGTTGATGGCAGGGGAGACTATAGTATCTCTCAACTCTAACAACTATGTAACTTTACATGTTTATTTTATAAATTAATTAAAAAATTATAGTAAGTGGTAAGGTTTTAAGTTCCCTGCTTGGTTCAAATTTTATGAGTAAAGTTTGTTAAGCCTCTTATTTGGATTTATTGTTTTGCCACTACTTCTAGCTAAATTTTTTTATAACCATTGGTGGTGAATACATTTATCATTAACGGTTAATGTCATAAACATTCTAGTTTCATTTTCGGCTAATTATCTATTATCGGATTGAATGAAGGTCTGGTCGGGTTTTGTTAGGTCTCATTGGTGCTACAAATTGAACATTTTGATCTTGCAGGTGGAGCATCTTTGAAGTATTTGGATTGAACCTAACGATATGGTTTTGGGACTTGCAGCTTACTAAACATAAATACTTTTATGTGTAAGAACAATATCATATCTCATCGAGTTTGGGTGTATTTTGATGATCCTATTTTAAGCCATGTATACTATTCTTTAGTTTTTTTTTTTTTTTCTTTCTCTTTTTTGGGTAAAAATACTCTTTTCTTTAGTTAAGAAATCTCATTCCAACTTTCCTCCTGCGGTGCAAGCAGCTTGTAGATATTCCTTATCACCCATTTTTCTGTGGCTATCCCGAACTCTGGATAATAGTTCAAAACAACCAGTGAATATTCATCTTCAGTTCTTCATATATAGCCTCTTCTTTATCCAAAAACGCACACCTCACTATAATACGACCAAAATTACTCTACCATTCTGGATTTTGGACACTTCTACCTACTATACCATCAAATTAAAAGATACACACGGACAGTTACAGTGTGGATAGGTTCGATTTAATTTCTTTTCAATCTCGCTATATATGGCGGTCACAACCATTTTGCCAGAACATCTTAATACTTATGAAAGTTATAATTATGGTATTGTTCCTTAAGAGTTTACTAACATGACCACGCTGTCATTTTCCCTCTCTCGCCCACATCTGTTTTCTCAATGTCAATGTGACAACGAAGTGGAAAAGGGGTTAATTCTCTAAATATTATTTTTTTTTAATTTACCACGAATATTGTGTTTTTAGAAGTATTTACAACAATATTGTGTTTTGATGGAGGGAAGTTGGCGACGGCGCCCGAGACTCAGCAAATAGAGAATTTAAAGGTAAAGCCAGTGTGGGCGCCCCAGTCTCTGGCGTTGGCGCAATTTGAAATTTTTGAAAATTTCAAATTGCGCCAACGCCATAGACTGGGGCGCCCTCGCTGGCTTCCCTTGTTTTTTAATTCCCCTCCCTCGCCCTCTCGCACCAGACACCCTCCATTCATCCCTTCCCTTACCCACCTCCTCTCATCCTCCCTCCATCCCCTCCTTCACCCTACCAGCGCCGACGCCAATAACCCGAGCGGCGATGCCTAGCTAAAGGCGGCAGCGCCTCAAACCCAGGCGGTGGCGCGACGAAGAGAGCGGCAGCGCCCCAGCAACAGCGGCGACGCGGGATGTCCGACGACGAGCAACAGGCCCCCGGCGGCAGAGGAAGAGGCCGAGGGCAGCGAGGGCGGCGTGGCGGCGGCGGTGACGGCATCGAACGGTACAGGGGTGAGTGCCGGATTCTCTCGCCGGCGGCGGCCGGATTCTCGCCGGCGGCCACTTTTTTCCAGTTCTAATATTTTTTTTTATGTTCTAATATTTTTTTTCCAGTTCCTAGGCTTATCGATCCTTGTTCGATGAGACCACCACCTGCGACGATCGATACTGCTCCGATGGATCCGGAACTTCTTTGGGGGCATGGTCACCATCGGATTGACGCAGTTTGGGCAAATGAGGTAAGTTTTTTTCAAACTATTTCTATAGTTTTATTAGCTGAATAATATGATAGAATAGAATTAAATTAAATTACGATTGGAATTAAATTAAATTAGGAATAGAATTAGAAATAAGTTACGATTATATTATATTAGAAAAAGTTTAGTTTAGATATATAAATATAAATATTAGGTGAATTGAAGGAATTGAATTAATATAGTTTTGTGCATTAATTATAGGCTGGTGATCGACCATTCCACATTCGTCATACTGGAAATTTAGTTTGATACAATCCACTGTACCTGCCGTATCTCGTTGATGCCGGCCTGTCTAGTGTTCTGCCACTAGCTCCTCTTACCGGTGATCCGGGTTTGATTACTGCGCTCGTAGAGCGTTGGCGACCCGAAATATCGACATTTCACATGTCGTTCGGTGAGGTGACGATCACCCTAGAGGACGTTGCCACACTCACCGGATTAGCGATCGACGGTGATGCCGTCGTAGTAGACATACCCGACGAGGACTGGCCGGGTATGTGTCTTCGACTGTTAGGACAGGCTCCTACTGATCTTGGTGGCGGCGTCATCTGGATTTCTTGGCTGAGGGATACTTTCGATGAGCTACAGCTTTCTGCATCACCGCAGACGACAGAGCAGTTTGCAAGAGCATATGCGCTATCTCTGATGGGAGGTGTCTTGTTCTCCAATCGGTCTGGAGGTTCAGTCCACCTGCAGTACCTACTTTTGGTGGAGGATTGGCACAGAGCGGGGAGGTTTGCTTGGGGAGCAGCTGTGTTGTCCTACTTGTACCGTGAGATGGGTAGATCGGCGCTGCAGATGACGGCATCTTCTTCACTGGGTGGTGACTTTGGTGGATGGGCCGCCTTGCTGATGATCTGGACGTGGGAGCGGTTTCCTCATACATCACCACTACATGCGGTGACGGGTGAGCAGATTACTCAGGACGCAGTGCCACGTGGCCTTCGGTGGCTTCCAGCCCACACCCGTCAGCATGGAGATCAGTTCTACTTGTACAAGCTGTGGTTTGACGCGTGCACGACATTCGTGGTTAGTATATATCATTTCATTTTATATAATAGTTTTAATTGATTTGTTATAGATTTAGGAGTAATTATGTGACCAATCCTTGTGTGCAGTGGCGTCCGTACTATCATAGAGGTCAGGACTACAGCGGTACTGTGCCCCAGTCCCACACGTTTCGAGCAGTTCCGTTGATCTGCTTCTCATCGCAGATGTGGCATCATCCAGATCGCGTGCTCGGACAGTTTGGGATGATTCAGGATCGGCCTCTTCCTCCACATTCCGCAGCTGAGATTAGATTTTTGCTTCGTCAGGGACAGCATGGGCCTTCACGTGGACAGCAGTTCATACAGGCAGCCAGCGAGTCGATTGAGCTGTGGGACCGTCGACATGAGTTCGTAGCGCAGACGAGCTACATTGACGGAGAATTAGCTTACCACTCGGAGCAT